GAGGAAATCAGTCCAAAAGACAGATCAACTTTTGACTCATTAATCAAAGTTATTGCTGGGATCTTAAATCTTTGCTACATTCTTAATGGTGAAATAAAATACCTTAACAGAAACATAGGGGGAGAGGCAGTCCCACAGATAACAGGGACCAAGGCCATGGGGGGGGGGGGCTTTGTACGGGATAGGCAATACCTTAAACGAAGGTTTTGTGTGCTTCAAAGAGCCCTGGAAGTGAGTCTCGCACTCCACATACTACCACTGCTACGAGCACGGATGGCTTCAAGAGGGAATTGGATAGACATCTGGAGCAGAGGTCCATCAGTGGATCTTAGCCACAAGGCATAGATAGGAACTCTCAGTCTGGGGCGAGTGATGCTCTGTGTTCTTGGTGCTTGGGGGGGGCAACAGCGGGGGGGCTTCTGGTGTCCTGGCCCCACTGCTGGACCTCCTGAGGGCCCCTGGTATTTCTGGCCACTGAGTGACACAGAAGAGTGTTGGTCTGGAGGGGCCACTGGCCTGATCCCACCATTGGGCTTCCGTGCGCTGGGGGGGCGCGGAGCGTACGTGACTCGTGCTCTTCTGGGTTTCCTTCCCCACCCCCATATTCTGCAGCATTGAGCTGGACGATCGCCCGCTGGTGCACACCGCGGCTAACCTGTTCAAGGAGGCATGCTACCGATACCGAGAGGACCTGACCGCGGGGATCCTGGTGGCCGGCTGGGACAAGCGTAAAGGCGGGCAGGTGACGGCGGGGGCTACAGCTCAGGTGGGCGGGGGAGGGGCAGTTGTTCCGGTTCAGCCGCCCGAGCCAACCCCCCCCCCTCTCTCTGTCGCCCCCCCGCCCCCCCGCCTGGCAGGTGTACTCTGTGCCCATGGGGGGAATGATGGTGCGGCAGCCCTTTTCCATCGGGGGATCCGGCAGCTCCTACATCTACGGCTTTGTCGACGCCTCCTACAAGCCCAGCATGAGCAAGGAGGAGTGCATGACTTTCACTGCCAACGGTAAGGCGGGGAGGGGTCCCCTCACCGGGGTGGGGGGAGACTCGCTGGCCGGCATCTCGACCAACCGGCCGCCTCACACTCCTGCCCTTTCCTTGCAGCCCTCTCCCTGGCCATGGATCGCGACGGCTCCAGCGGGGGCGTCATCCGCCTGGCCGCCATCACGAAGGACGGTGTGGAGCGCAGGGTCATTCTGGGCAACAAGCTGCCTCAGTTCTCCTCCCACTGAAACGGGGGGTGGGGGGTGGGAGGGGGCAGCGCGCCTCCACGGCAGCAGCGCGCCTCCTCCCTCCGGCGGGGGCTTGATGACTTTATTAAAATAGTAGTCTCCTGAAAGGCGTGTGGTCTTCTTGGTCTTTGGGGGGAGGGGGGCACATGAAGACTGGGGGGGTACTGTGAAGGCAGCCGCCAGTGGGCGGGAGTGGCACCCCCCGCCTCCCACGCGGCTTGCTGGCCTGAGAGGTGCAAAGTCTGTGTAGGAGAGGGAGCTCAGGTGGGTTATGGGGTCACCCTAGGACTTCTCTTTTTCCGAGATTCTATGGTAGACCAAGGAATTCTGGGAGGGGACTCCTGGCCCCGCCTCAAGGCCGGTAACCCTAAGTGCAGGAGGGCCTCCCGCAAGACCTCCCAAAGGGATTGTTTTCCAACTCCAGTGGGGGCTCAAAGCGAAGCAAGAGGGCCACTGAAAGGCTGGACTGGAGGGGGGGTGGAGCTTAGATCTGCTATTCTGAAGGTGGCGCTTGGTTCTCCCCCCACCCCCTTGCAGGTGTGTCTGGAGCAATCATTTGCACCCTGCGGTTTCCCCTCCCTCGCCTTTGGAGAAAACAAGGTCTCTGTTGGGGGGGGGGGGGGCCGGCAGATTTGGCTGGTTTCCCTCCCTGCCGAGACCCTTGTTTTGTTTTGTGGAAACGTGAAGAGCGAGGGAGGGGCTGGGATTCTCCTTGCTTCGCGGGGTGGTGGTGGTGGTGTGTGTGTTGGGCCACCGCCGCCTCCTCTTCACTCTTGTGATTGTTTCCAAGCTGTGATTACTGGGAGGCAGGAGGGCCTCACCCGGGCCTGACCGCAGCCCCACCCAGCCTGTTTTCCGGGGCTTGAAGGCAGGCAGGCGTGCCGGGGGGGGGGGCCTCCCTCTGCAGAGGAGACCTGTCTTCCCAGGGCAAGTGTCTCCCCCCCCTGCGCACACACTTTCTTGGGGGGTGTCTTTCTGCTCAGCTGCTTCTCCAGCCTCTCCTCTCCTTGAGCTGAGCCCCCCCAGCAGTGCCCCCAGGGGCTGTCCGGCGCCCCACGGCAGTGGGTGGTGGAAGAAAGGCACTTTGCACAGGCTCAGACTCCAGGGCCACTTTATTGCTCAGGCCCCGCTGGCTGCCAGACTGTTATAGTTTTTAAAGAAATTCAGCAGTCTCCCTGACTCTCCGCTCTCACCGGAGCCTGGGTCTCTCCAAAGGCGCTGGGGCCCCCTCAGTGGGTGGATTCTCTTTCGGAGTCCAGCTGGTGTCGGAAGGAGACGCGGGCCTTGCTGCTGAAGTAGGCCCCTCCTCCGCTGCGGGAGTTGGCCTCGCTGGAGCGCCTGGATCGAGGCCCCGGAGAGGGAACTTCAGCCCCTCCTGAGCAGACCCCTGCAGGGAGAGGATTCTCTTTCGGAGTCCAGCTGGTGTCGGAAGGAGACGCGGGCCTTGCTGCTGAAGTAGGCCCCTCCTCCGCTGCGGGAGTTGGCCTCGCTGGAGCGCCTGGATCGAGGCCCCGGAGAGGGAACTTCAGCCCCTCCTGAGCAGACCCCTGCAGGGAGAAGGAGGAGGAAGGGAGGAGAGTGAATGGGAGGGAGAGCCAGCACCGGCCCCAGCCCGCCCGTGGGGGGGGGGTCTGGCCCGTCCTTACCTGGGGGGGCCTCTTGTGGCCTCGGCTTGCTGCCCCCGTTCCACCATCTCCGCCCTGGGAAGCAGCTCGGGAACCTGGAGCCCATGGGACACGG